TAACTTTTTTTTTTTTTTTTTTTTTTTTTTTTGTATTTTTGTATTTTTTTGAGTTTCTCCACTTGGATCTTTTAGCTTATCATTCTCTTCCTGAACATTTTTCTAATTTTGGTTATATTTGGATAACTATGTTTATGTTCACTTATTAATGCATACAGCTGCATATTTTGCCTCTAAATTTGAGGATTTTGATTTGGTTGTTTATACATATTACTTGGCTATAATTCTGACATATTTTTGCCATACTGCAGGTTGAATCTGAGTACCTCCCTCTGTACACTAACTATGGTCTAGGTCTTACCACTTGGAGTCCACTTGCATCAGGAGTTTTGACTGGAAAATATAACTCTGGAACCATCCCACCTGATAGTCTATTTGCATTGGAAAATTACGAGGTAAACCTATTTGGAAGTTACAATTTTGTTTGCTGAAGTACCTATTTATTTATAGTTTTATCATAATTTATATTTGGCTTAAAGTTGCACTTGAGTCTCCTGTAATTTTTGGTGAATGTGCTCTCTGCATAATTCATCTTTTATCTTTGTTATCTTGCTTTATTAAAATAAAAACTTGAAGACATTCATCTGTGGGTGGCTAAGTATTTTTTATGTGAAATATATGGGTGCATAGATTCTTTTGTGAAGATATATTGGCATATGCAATGCTACATTAATTTCTGTAACATGGGATAGTAATCCCAGTTTTCATTGAGTAGATAAACTAGGTTGCGAGAGAAAGGACATCATTCTCTTTCCTCCCCTCTTTTTCTGTTGAGCACTGCTTCTTCTTTTTTTTTTTTTTTTTTCTCGTTCTTCGTTTGTATCACCCTTTACATGGTAGAATCTCATTCTTTTTGGTTTTCTCCTTAATTTTCTCTTCAATGCAATGTTCCAATCACAAGCATCCTTTTAGGATGTGACACAAAAAAGGTGAAACTCACCATTTAAAAATAACATTTTGATTTAGTTTTCTTTTCCTTCTAAATCTTCAAATTTCAGAATTTATCACCAACTTGGTTTGGGAAATGAAATCAAAGCCAGAAAATCAGAGAAGTTGGGGGACTTGGTGGCTTACATCCACCATTTGGGGACATTGATTGTCAGCATCTATACAAAAGTCCTAGTCTAGTTTTCATATCTCTTTTCTGCTCCAACCAGAGCATTTTTTATGCAAAGTTGATCTTACAACCCATGCATTTTTTTAGATTATTGAACATGCAAGTTGAATTGGTCTGATAGGCACTCCAATTTACTTAATTGTTGATTTGTGATGGGGTTTAATGTGTTATCTGTGTGTTGGTGTGTAGGTTGATTATGTAATCATCATTGGCTCATATTTTTTATTATCTACCAGTAATATAGTTGGAATTTGCATTTTTTTTTCTTTTTTCATTTCAGTTTTTTAATTTTCATGGCTCCGAGTGCTGAGAAGTGCAAATAGGATTACTGGATTATGTGGAACATCTGTATCTGGGTATCTACCATAAGAGTCTCACGTCAGTTTTGTCTTAAGGGTGCAATTCTGGGTTCTGTGGTTTTGTTTTGTTTTTATTTGATTTTCTCTGCCTAGGTTGGTTTTGTATTTCAGAGCTCATGCTTTTGCAAATGGATTTCGCTTGTGAAGTTTTGTCATTCTTTTAACAATTTTTTCTTCATGAATTGTTTGTGTTAGTGAAATAGATTTTCTTCTAAACTAAGAAATGAAAAATAGAGAAAAGACCTAAAAATTAGGATACGGGTACAACCAACATACATTCGTAAAATATATATATAATTTTTAGTATTGTATTATATATAAACTCAAACCATTTTTGAGCCAATGGCCAACCACTTTATGCTTTTTTAGTAGGTTCTACACAAATTTCATTTCAATATCAAATCTACATTGTTTTTATTGTCCTTGTACATTTTGTTTTTATTCTTTATATGTCATATGCAATAGTGTTGTACACAAGTTTACTTGCTTGTTTAACTCCAATTTTAGTGTGAAACAAATAATAAATAAATAAAAATATAAAATTTCTGAAACCTCAATAGCATCAGAAATTTCGAGAATTGCTGATAATTCCCCACCTACAACTTTGAGTGTAAAGTCCATGTTTTTCTGTGGCAGAATCATAGGGGGAATTGTAGTATCAAAAATCAAGTGCATAGTAATTTTTCAAAATTTTATATAATTCTTTTTATGATGACATGATAGATATATGAATATTTGCACAAATTTGCGTGATTTATCATGAAGATGACTTCCAAAATGTTGGAAACTAGACTAATAAGTTCAAAGAGTGACAAAGATACAAAGTACCCACCTTTTCCATCAAAGAATAACAAACAACTCCAAAATATGGAAACTCGTCAACTAGTGGTTTGAAAATTAATCTGAAAACTCCCGTGAATCCAACTTCTTGTTATTGATGTTGTTTATTTCTTCTACAGGTTGCTTTTTAAATATGTTTACCCTAATTACCTTGTATTCACCAATTATCCCCATTTCTCTTTATGTTTCAATTGAGGTAGGGATCACACTATTACAGTATTTGTTTTCCCAAACTGATCATTGATTTTTTGTTTTTAAGTATTCATTTCCTTTTTCTATTTTCAGACAATCAAATTTATACAATCCAATCAATATATTAACAACGATTTGCATATGTACCATGTTGAAACCAACACCCCTGCATTGGCACGGACATCCAATCTGAATGAGGAGCTTGGCCAGGTAAACTGGTTTCTTGTTGACCTGCTCAAGGGTGGATCACAAATAGTTCCTTTTCTCTCCTTCATATAAATTTCTATTTCTGCTATAGTTCTTGGGAAAATGTAGTGTGATTTATTTATTCGGAAAAGCTTCTAAGGTCATTATTGCATTTTTCTTCCTTTCCACTTTATTTTCATACTGATTGCCAAGGTTGACTTTAATGATGAATTGTGCCTTTGGCCAGGTGGAGTATATCTTTTCTGATAAAACTGGAACCTTAACAAGAAATTTGATGGAGTTCTTTAAGTGTTCAATTTGGGGAGAGGTCTATGGAACTAGTCTCACGGAGATTGAAATTGGAGGAGAACAAAGGAGTAGCATAAAAGTTGATGAGGTATACTTACCTAGCATCACTTAGCAAATGACAAAACTTAATATATATTTATGGATAATTTTACTCCATTCATTTCTCACAGGTTCAGAAATCATCAAATTCAATACATGATAAGGGTTTCAATTTTGATGATGCTAGGCTTATGCGAGGTGCTTGGTGGAGTGAACCTAATCCTGACATGTGCAAGGTATATGAGTTTAATTGACAAAAATAGAATGATTGTTGCTATATGATAATTCAGCACATCAACTGGTATTTATTTTCTATATATTTTTTTGTAGCTGTTGAAGCCAGCTCATCTATGGCTATATATTGTATATTGTATAAGATTCAAAGTGTTGTGATTGCTATCAATATGTAGTTGAAAAATAGTTTAATGTAGTTTTATTTCTTAAAGTGTTGTGACAGTTTGCAGTATGTGACTTTATGATCTTTTATACTATGATTGGAGTATACTTTGAGTTTGAACTTATTAATGCAGTGTGCAATGCAAAAAATTTGCCATGCTTGGGCTTTTTAAAAATAAAAAACCAAAAAAAATCATTTTTACAGTTAATGGTATACGAATTCTAGTCTAAACTTTTAACGGCATGATAAGAAACATTTGCTAAATACCTCGTCAGTTGGTTTATTATTACAATGCTTGCTTCTTCTTCAATAAACAATATATTTGTTTAGCAAAGTAGCATATTGAAATCAAGGTTGGGAATTTAATTGGGTGGCAAGTTATTTATTTTGCAATTGATGATTATTATTTTTTCTGTTAAAACCAATTACAGCTCAGTTTGATAACATTTTCTGGAAAGGCTTCTTGTATTGATCACAAAGTTCTGAAAATTTTAAGAGGGTGTTAAGAAAAAAATTTGGATCAGGGCAACACACTGTTTGGTTTTTAGAGAAACCAACTTTGCATGGTTTAATGTGTCCTGTTTTCTGCCTATCTTGTAGTATGCTTTGTGAACTGTCATCTTACCTTCTCTTCTTTTCCAAACATAGCTCTACCCTGGTCAAAAGAATTGTAATCCAACTAGATGTTTGCGGGTTTTCCTAATAGCCCCTAACTTTGCTTTATTATCAACTATCAAGTGGATCTATTTGCTGGTTGAGTAGTCTCGACTCGAGTTTTACATATTTAGGGTGAAATTGGAAAAACTTGATGCTATTTGCAGGTGACGAGACTAGTCAAGAAAGGTGCACAGAAAATAACACTCAGTATTGGTGATGGTGCCAATGATGTTAGGTACTTGCATTCTTTCTATTTAATGTTGATTTATAATGTGAGTTTTTGTGCCATTGATTTGGATTAATGATTTGCTGAAAAAAATTATCTATGACGTGATTTTATTTTGTTCTACTAAATAATTTTTCTCCTAAATTTTTTTCGCAACTTTTCTTCATTTTTTTCTCCACTCAATTTTCTTTCCCTTGATTTGTCCTAGTTGTTCCTGAGCTCTCACTACAAGAAAGGTGGACTTAAAAGATGGAAGCATTTGCGACGGTAGACGGCACAACTTGTCATCGCAAAAAAAGTGAGCTTTTGCGACGGCACAACTTGCCGTCGCAAAAAAGGTGAGTAATTCTATCTTTGTCTAGCTTGCCGTTGCGACGGCACAAATTTTATTTTGTTCTATCTTTGTCTCTCTCTTTATCTCTCTTCTCTGCCTATCTCTCACTCTCTCTTTTTCACCACTCATATCCTCTACCACATTCACCATTACTGCAAATGCCATTCCACTACCACCACTACTACCACTGTTGCCACTCTACCTCTACGGCTATAATTACTACCACAATCGTCACCACTCCACTACCACCACCACTACTACTATTACCTCTCTTCCACCACCGCTACTCTATCTCCTCTACGACTACCACAACTTCACCACTAATCTCCTTCGCCATCACCACCACTATCCCCTCTTATCCACCACCTTCACCACTACTACCGCTCTCTATCCTCTACCACAAAAAAAAAAAAAATTAGTTCCTGATTTTTAGTAACAAAAAAAATAGGTCGTAAAAAAATATTTTTCATTGACAAAAAAAAAAAACTTTATTTTAATAGAAAATATTTTTCATTAAAATATTACCCCTACTTTTGTCAAATAAACAAAATAGTAATAATTTTTTTATTCATTAAAATAAAAATGAAACAAATAAATTTTCAATCTTAGTAACTAAAAGAAAATGAAAAATAAAATAAAAAATTCATTAACTATAAAAAATATTTTAACAAAAAATAAATTTTATTGTCACAAAAAAAGAAAAGAAAAAAAAGAGCCATTTTATTGTTTAGATATTGATTTGTGGTGAAAATAATAAAAAATATATATATATATATATATATTTTGCATTCACACTCGGTTCCCCCCCATTTTTTTTCCATTCCCGCTCCCAAAAAACCCAAAATCCCCAATCTCTTCAACCAAAATCCCCAATCGAGTTCCCCCCGAGAGATAGAGAGAGAGAGAAGAGATGAAGGGTTCGGTTTGTGTATAATTGGTTTCTCCTTTCCTTCTTCTCTGTTCTTTGGGTTCAGTGACTCTTCGCATACCATCAAACGCGAGGCTTCCATCGCTTCAGGGTGAGAAGTTGATCAGAGAGCTCAATTTCTTCCCAAAGGAGTCCATCAACATCGTCGATCCCAATGATGTCTCTACTGTGCCTGTCGCTCCCAGGATCGTCGAGAAGCGTTTCAAGTTTCCCAATTTCACTGACCTCGACGTTTCCGCCGAAGACTTGGGTCACCATGCCGGCTACTACACGATTCAGCATTCTTATGCTGCTAGGTATTTTCAAATCCCTCTAATTTCGATTTTTATTACTCATTTTTATGTCAATTTGTTTATATGTATACTATACTATACTAGTGGTGTGTGGTGTGCTATTACAGGTTATAAATTTTGATCTCAATCTGAATTTGGATTTCATTAGTTACAGGACGTTTTGATCTGGGCAATTACAGGAGGATATTTTGGAAGGGAAAAAAAATGTGACATCTACCTCAATTTTGGCCTTCCCTTTTAGATATAGATATGCATATAGAAAGGAGCTTTTTTATTTTGAATTTTTTATTTTTTAGTTTTGGATAAATTTGTATTTTCAAATTTTTAGATGCTAAACTTAATTTATCACAAACATTAAGTAGTGAATAAACTCTAAATGCTTTTAATTTTCCATGTTATATTTTTGCTGCCACACCATATTTCTATTGCAAGTTACAACTATTTAGATTTCAGGTGAAATAGTGCATAGTGTCAATTTTGATTGTCTATCCCTTAATTCTGTTGTGGATTAAGTCCTACTAGAGTCATAAAATTCTAAAGAAGCATGGGCATGAATTCTGTTGGATTCATTTGCTGTTGATTATGTTGCTGTCTTCTTTCTCTAGTTCTATTTTGTAGTTAATTCTTAGTTTTAATTAGTAGATTTATAAGCAGTATTTATGTTTCTTGATCATAAGTACCTACAACTAGGAAGGCACCTCTTTAGGCAAGTAAATTCTTCTCTACTTAGTGAATTAAAGCTTGAATTATGGTTATTATATTTATAACAATTCTTGTGTTTTTTAGATTCTTTGTTATCTTAATTAATTGATGTGTAGTGAAATTTGTAGGAACCAAAAGAGTATTGAGCTCCTGATCTTGAAGCTTCCATTCAAGAGGCTTGTCCATGAAATTGCTCAGGACTTCAAGGTAATTGAATGGTCGCAATAGATAAACATTGTCATATTTATCGTAATTGTTTAGGGTTTATTTATTTCTTTTTTTCTTTTTTTCTTTTTTCTTTTATTTTCTTTTCTTTTTTAATGTTTTTGATTAGTAGTGTATGTTAATGTTAATTTTAATGTTTTTGATTTTTGTGTGTGTGTGTGTGTGTGTGTGTGTTGGGTTGTGGATTTGAATAGGTTACATTCTTTGATTGCTGGCAGTACAGCAGTGGCTGCTGTGCCCACCAGCATAGCAACCACCCCATCTCCATAATAAACTGAATTGAGTAGACACTTGTTTATAGTTTAATTAATCGAGAATATAACATAGCTTGACTCAATAATCATGTGTAATTATTTAATGAAAATATATATAATGATGTGTTATTGTGTGAAAAAGAGTATTCATCATGTTATGTATGGATCTAAAGATTGTTTGCACTATAAAGATTTTGAACCTGGACCTTGAAAAGAGTAATTCTATGTGGTATTCCCAATTCATAGAAAACCGCAACACATATGAAGTGTCATCCTTTGATGTACCTTGGTCATGTATCTGATTTGATATATATATATATATATATATATATATATATTTTCAGTAACTGATTTGATATATATGTGGGTAAATTACAAATATACTTTTTGAGATTTGCTTAAAATGTAAGTTGTCCCTGTAGTCTAGGTGATTACTTTTATGGCATCTTTTATGTGTGGCTACTTAATTCTAATTTCTTGATATGCCAAGATAGATTTTAGCTAGAACATTTAGATGTCATAACTAATTATGATGTTTACAACTTGATTATGAAAATAAATAATTTACGAAAACAAAATCACAAAAGAGTGTGTAATGACCAATATATCAAAATTCAATTTGTTATGATTTGAATCATAAATTTCAAGTGAACAAACCTTAACGACAATATAATTTGTTTTTGCAGGTGTTGCTGTGGGTAATAGTTGCTATGATCGAGCGGGTGATATTGGGAGCTAAACTAAGATTTTTTTTTTTTAATTTTTTGAGGACTTAAATTTGTTAGTGTTTTGTATAAATACTCTTAAACGATGGTTGATGGATATTTGTTTCGCTGTATGGACTTAAATCTGTTAGTAGTTTGATGGATATTTGTTTTGTATAAATTTCTAGCAAAGGCTATGAAGCCATTTTGTTTAGTGTTTTCACTCATTTTCGAAGCAAATGCGCAACAGCAAGTGCATATAGAAAATTGAATGCCATTATTCAATCGTCTTTTCCCATAAAATATTCTCTTGAAAATGGCCAAACAATCTGGGTCTTTAGCTCTGACAATTCTTTGCACAGTAGCATTTGCCATCAAAACGTCAATTGGAACTAATTGGCAACATGCCTTGTTACTGTCAACCTCTGGTTTAATTTTATCATCGATGTTCTATGATTTGAGAATTTTATTTTTTTCACCCTGAAGAGTTCAGTTGGTACGCCCTTCTCAATCTAGGGTCTTGGCCTTTTACAGCAATGAAAAGGATAGAGAAAGGTGACAGGCCTTCTTTCTTTTCTTTATTTCTTTTGTCTTTTTTTGTGCTTTGGATGGGCAGACAGAAGCCCTTTTTTAGGCCAAGATTATGACCAATGTCATCACGTGATGCCTTGGAGTTTTTCTCAGTGGGGTGGTGGTGGAGACTTGGACAGTGTTTTGGTGCAATGACCAATTTTATTTACCCACGCAAACAACTCTCTCCCACCTAAAGACTTGGCCAAATTACCTCAATAGTTTCTGTATTTTGTCTATTATGTTGTTTTGGTCATTGATATTTTAATTAGTTCAATTTTAATCTTAAGTTTTAAATTTTATGTCAATTTAATTTAATTGATAACACTAACTAAAATTTTTGAAGAAAAATGGTTACTAAATTAGTTAAAGTTAACGTAGTAAGTTGAATAAATTTTTATTTTTATTATAAAAACATGACACATGTTGCTTATGTATTCATTTTCTATCAAAACACATTAAAAATTATAATTAATTGGATCAAATTAAAATAAAATTATAAATTTATGGTCGAAATCAATCCAATTGAAATTATGATCAAAATCAACCACTCTCACTATTTTTCTTTATAGCATAGTCTTTGACACATCAATGTCACATTAAAGTAAATTATACCTTTTCTTGTTCTTGGACAAAAATGGATGGACTAAACACAAGTTTCTTCATCTTACTGGGTTCAATCTGGAAAGTGATTGCAAGAAGGTTCAAGCATCAACACCAACTTTTGTCCACTTTACATAGAATATTTTTGGAATAATAAAAAAAAAATGTTAATCAATCAATCAATCACAATTTTTTGCCTCCAATAAAAAGTCAGCGACATAATAATTGCAAAATATCATCCAAATAATGAAGTAGGTTGATAGACCCAGGCATGACTAGTAATATGTTTCCATTATGAAGCAAAGCCAAATCAATATGTATCATATGACAAAGGTCCACAGACATCTTGAAAAGCAAAAATCAAAACATAATAGTATTAATTAGGCGGCATTGACGTGCTTGGCAATGATAGCAACTCGTCTTTGTACGCTCCCACAACCTTATCCACTATCTTTCCTTCTTTCAGGATCAAGAAAGTCGTATAGCCTCTACTTCCATTTCAATTCACCCCTGGCTTTAAGTTCTGCACAAGATAGCACACTTGAGAATATAATTTTATAACAAAGGTTGAGTTATAAACTCAAAGTTCACTAGTTTAAGAAATGCGATAACGTCATTGATTGTACGAACTTATGAAAAATAAAAAAGAATAGAGCGTCACCAGATGTATATTGCGCGATATTAGCAACAATATCAGCTGAATTATGCTTGTATATCACAAGATCAAGTAACAAGAGAGCCCTATGCAAATAGTCAAACTACATGCCAAAAGTAGTGAGTACGTAAAAACATCTCACATTATAAAATTAGACTTCATAAAACATAAGATACTGATAAGTGGACAGTTGGGTATAAAGGTAAGTACCTTGATTACACCCGAAGGCAAAGGTTTCCCTTGCATATATTTGATGACGAAAAGACCACAATCATAGCTATAGGAATGAGTGTAGTTGTAACAATAGAGTCAACGAACTTAGAGATTATAACATTAATGCTTATTTAAAAATTAAGAACGATAATGTAGTGTATTACCTATTGTGTTGGCGTGGCATGTCTTCCAACCATTGAAATGCAAACGAACTAACGTCTTGAACATAATCTTCTCCGTGCGCATATTGAAGCAGCTTATGCAATGATTGTAGCTGTTGGTGGTAGGTAGTAAGGTACATCGATCAAGAAACAAAAAAGTGGGTACAATTGGTGTCATAATGGTTATTCTATTACCAATAATCTGGCTTTATTTTTTCGATCCTCATCGGTGTCAATACATCTGCTGGAGTCGAATAGATAGGCAACACGTTTTTCCATGTTTATGTTCAAGCACAACCAGTGGTTTTCCCCATGGTTGAAGGGCATGTAAATCTAAAAATATAACGTCGAATGTGCATGCAAAATAAAATAAAATAAATAAATATATAACTACATACAAATAGATATTAACGAAATACCAAAAGAAAATGAATGAAGTGATCGGGCGCTTTGGAGGATCAGTCGATTTATCCATCGGGCTTCAATCAGAATTCCTTGTGAAGAAAGACAAGAAAAATAAACTCATAATATCTTCGATTAGGGAAAAAAAACAAACAAACAAAACAAGAAATTAGAAAATGGGAGGATGATTTGATACAATTGTATTCAGTAATATACATACACTAACTAAAGATTTGATGCACTAAGAGTCATACAAATAACATAGAAATATTCAGTTGGTAGTACAAAGAAACGGATAAACCAAACGAATATTACCATTTGCATCAAGAATTTAATCTGCATCTATTACGCAAAATAAATGATTGGTTTTGGGTCTCATGGTGTTTTTTTGTAAATCTCTTATACGTTATGGAATCTGCAAAAGCCTTTCTTTTGGATCATCTTTATAGATTAGTCTCTCATCAAATAGTGAACAAAAACCAATGGAGCATTTGAGATTATGATTTGAAGCCCCTAAATTTTGAAGCATCCTCCACAACTTTTTAGCATGTTACTCCCTCTTGAGTTTCATCAATCAAAATTGTCATCAAGAAGTAGCATTGCAGATTATGATTTGAATTTGCAAGTCCGAATTTTCCATTATAAGATTCTCTCCTTAATTTCTTTTGTATGGCAATGAAAATTTTACTAAAAAGCATATAACAAAATGATAATCTAAGATTGCTTGGGCCTAATAATTTGCAATGGCTTTTGCAACTTCTTGTTCTCCCTAACTACATGCTTCAAAATAATCAACTAAAGTTCTTAAAGGGCAGTCTCTTTGATAACCAACTAAAGTTTTTGTGTAAAAAAGAAAGAAAAGAAAAAAAGAAAAAAAAAAAGGAATCATCTCTTTGATAACGTTTTCAATGAGAATGATGGGGCGGAAGCACCTTTGACCTTGTCTTTTAAATGTCTCCTGCAAATGAGAGATGCCAAACACCATGTTTTAGATAAAACCTTCACCCATTACTGAGGCCTAATAATTTGTTTCTTTTCCATTATACTAACCCTGTCTATCCCTTGTGTGGTGCTAATGGGGAGGACCATGATCACCTATTCTTCCAATGCCCTTTCTCCTCTAAGGTTTGGACTGCTGTGCTCACAAAGTGCAATGCTAATTGGCAGAGCACAAATTGGCTGGGTCTTATTGAGGTTGTGGCTAGAGATTGCTTGGGCAAATCTCTAGCTACAATCATCAAGAGACTTGGCTTCTGTTGCACTGTGTACCAGATCTGGATGGAGAGAAATAGCAGAATATTTAGCAGAATATTCTGCAGAGCATTATTGGCATGGTCAGATATAGGGCTCTTGCCCTTAAAAATATCAAACAGTCTCGGACTGATAACTGGTTTCTTCAAGAGTGGAGGTTGCCTACAATCATCCTTAAACATTGAGGGGAGTGGTACATTCTGTGGTTTGAGTGAAGGTGAGCATTTATTGAGGGTTGAGTGTGGTGAGCTTCTACAGTGAGATGGTTTTGATTGTTCTAGTTAATGTATCTCTGTTTTGCAGGTATAGAATGATGAAGCCCATAAATGAGAGTTGCGAGTTCTCCAAAAGTGGGTTGAGTGATGGCAGCCAGAAATTGAGTGCTAATGTAATTGTTTTTTCTTGTGTGTTATTACAGGTTTATATAATTGTTGGTATTGGACAGGGGATGTTGTTGGTGAGGGCTGAGTGAGGGGATCTATAAATTGTTGGAGTGTTGATGTAGTTTTTTTTGTCTCACTCATTGTACCACGATTTTAACCAAGCCCCTAACACTGTTAGTCTTTGTTGAGGAGTGTGAATATTGTGGGTTGAGTGATTCAGCCCTCCTAAACAGCTTTGTTATAATCTGTGTTATGGGTGTTGCTTATTTGTTTGTTTCACATGTGTACTATTGTTACTTCCAGGTTACTCTAATCTGTGTTGGGAAAGAAGTCTCATGGACAACAACTTTGTTCTGGCCAGCTGGAGCCTTCGGGGAGTGATGGAGACACAAAGACCAGGTTGCACTGTTGCGCCAGTCTAAGTGGAAAATCTCTAAATGGAAAATACTTTGTCTTTCGTTTAAATATTGTAATAGTTCCTTTCTTTTTGATTGTATTGAGTCTATAGCTGTCTAGTCCTAGATGATTGTAGCTGTTGGTATTAGAAGGACTAATCTTGAGCAGACAATATCAACAATGACAATATTAGCGTATTTTTCCAAAATTGATAACAATAACAACAAATAATGCAATGCTACCCAAGACTAATTAAACTTAACAATAACAATATTAGAATGTTTTTCCAAAATTTATCAACAATGGTCACAAATAATGCAATGCTATCCAAAACGAATCAAACTTATTCAGGTCTGTCTTAAGCATTGAATACAAACTTATGAAAGCTATGCTATATCAGAATTCACTCACAAATTGGGCAGAACACATGTTTTCAGCACTCTGGTGCACCTCAGCTGGCATCATTCATAGCTCAAATGTAAGATCTAGGAATACATATGTCAAATAAAAACAGTGACTTCTGTCTTTCGCTGAGCAAAGTCTTAATATAATCTAAACTGTATCTGGACTATAGCTTGGGGTTTTGCCTTAACTGATTCAAAGATCAAAGGAGTGAGATATGTAGACATTCTATGATGTTCAGGATTCTATTAAAATGAAGTTAGGCATGAATCTATTTCCAAAAAGTTTAAACTAGGAAAATTGAAGAAGGGGAGGGGTCTTGGCTGTGCCAAGGAGATGGGAGAGTTGTAGATAGGTATGGGCTTAACATGTACAGAGTGACGGAGATGCAGAGAAAGTCAAAGGGGAAACTCAGAATGGGGAAGGAGTTCCATCAATATCCAAGCACCACAGTAAATTCAACCCCCTACATAGATGATTCTCCACTTTATCATCTTTCAATACTTTTCAGGTTGGGAAGGTGAGGAGACAGAGAAAGGGAAATAAAGGGTATTTTGGGTTGCATAAAGGGGGGGATGAGAGAGATGGTGTTCCATACCTTGATCGGGAAGAGATGATGGAGGAATCTGAAGGAGGGAGGTGCTCTTTTGAAATGGCTTGGGCTGCAGAGATCTTGAGGAAGGGAGTTGCTTTTTTATGCAGCTGGATTTCACAAGAAGGAAGGTTCAATGTACTCTTTGGAGAGCCTCAAAGGCTCTTCAAACCTAGCCAGCAGGGAACGACTTTGATAAAATAGCCAGCCTGTTGGAAGGAGAAAAATGAACTGAGGGTAGCTAACATACCCAATTTGACTAGAATTGATAATGTCAAAGAAACAATCATATATTTTGGATTTGATAACTTGACAAGAATTGTTAATGTCTAAGTAACAATTCATGCCATTGTGGAGGCTCCTGGTGACCAACCAGGTTGATTTCCAGGCCTACTCGAACAGATCTTATTGCCGCTTTAGATAAATGAGATTTTACAAAAATAAGCATTAATTAAAAAGACACGGGGCATCTGAAACATACAACCATAAATTCAAAATCCTTGCATGTATATCTATTCATCTAAAGCCAAGCTAAAATGATAGAGATTATCCATCCGAAACAACTACACAAACTGATTGTTACATCTTATAAAATGTCTAAACATATGATATCATCTGTATTTTGATTTGCATCAAGCAACTGCAAAGATATTGAATCTAATATATTCCACTCTAAGTTCTTCTAAATCACATTTTCAACATACACGGAGTTCCTTCCTATAAGGGATGCAATCGATTAGACATCAACTATACAATACTTGGCTTACTAAATTTCATTATAAAATGATTTTAACAAATGGATGCAGTTGTAGAGAATTTCAATAAAACAAAAATCATCACTGCCAAACTGAAAGATTGTCTAATACAGCTACAAAAAAGAGCGTAAATTCTGTTACATAGATACTGAAATTTTTGAGTTTTGGGGCCAAATGCAACATCAACCACACAATCAAGCAAATATGAGTCTAGCATTTAACAAATTTCATTTCTAGTAAATTGTTCAATGTCAATAATGAGTTTTGGGTTTTGTCAACTATAATTGTCTATAAATCTACCCATAATTTAAAATGTTATTATATCCACCTTACATCAATGATAACCAGAAATATTTGCACTTTAATTACAACATTTGCTCTTAAGATAACAGTAAAAAAAACAATTTACCACAGTTATAGTCTCCTTATGCCAACAATCACAATATGAAATAAACAATCCAGAAAATTTTACCTTGTGCATTGGACAACTGAGATGATGAATGCCAAAACCAAGAATCACAAGAAGAAAAAAAAAATCTGTGAACTGCTGCCAGAAACACATGAAAACATGTTCTGAAAGAATCCTACTTCATTAACCCTCTCCCCCTAAAAAACAAAAAAGAATGTCTTACCACACAACAAAAAACAAAATCAATTACAAAGCCAGTAAATTATGAAGTACAAAATTTTACTGCACCTAAATTCTACTATAAGAATAAAAAGCATGCTTCGAAAGGACCTCGCCAACATCAAGTTCGATACAATCAAAATGGAAAAAAATAGCGTATAATATATATATATATATATATAAAAGGAAAATGCAAACATATTAGTGTGGCTCCTAAACTCTAAAGCAACGTCTGAAATTACCATCCCAAAAATCTACACCCATTAATTAGCAGCAAAAAAGCTATGAAAAGTAAAAAGAAGTTTGTATGTAGACACATGGGAGAAGAGCCAAGTTTAAGTGTTTGTGCTTTATAAACGAGCGAACAAACAATAAGAGAGATTCAAAGGAAAAAGTTGATAAAATAAAAATTAATATAAGAGATTCATTCTTCACAGTTAGAGTTCTGAAATCAAGTGGCACGGCTATTGGATACAGATGTTAATTTTCATTGAGAACCAAACTTAATATTAGATATTCAATAAGGGTTATGATATCAAATCACATAATCTCATAACTGATGTATGGTACATTCAAATGTGATAATAGATTATTTATATTTTGTGTGATAAATAAATCATCTTAATCTTATGAGTTAATGTGATAATAGTTATGATTTATATGATATTAGTTATGATATCAAATCACATAACCTCATAACTGATGTATGGTACATTCAAATGTACCATACAGGTCAAAAAATCTAAACCAAAGGCGGAATAATTTTTTCCAGTATAAAATTGTACTAACTCACCCTTTATCCGTTGATCAAACAGGGTCTTTAGTATATTTCCTACTCCTACAAATAAACACACATGAATCAAGAGAACAAAAACAACGCCCCAAAAAACAAAAAAAAAAACAAAAAATGCAATTTAGGTGATTTTATAGTGGAAAACAAATACAAATTCAATGCTCAGCGTACCAAAAGAAGAACCAACAGTTCAATGGAATGGATTTGAACTCAGGCCAATGAACTCATTGTCTCACTAAAATGTGTATCAATCTGGAAGTATGAAGTGTTTGATTTGAGCTTGAGTCTCATTTGTTTGTTGATATTGGAAGGATGTGAATATGGTATATGTAATTCACTGTTGTAAGTTTGGCCAGGTTCTGAGCCATGTTGATAAAATTGGAAAGTAAATTGTATTTTAGACAATAGTGTCATGAGACTGTAAAATGAAGTGGTTGATTATCTTGGTTAACCATCTGTCAAATACTATTGCTTTATTCATTTTCTTATATGTGGTTTAGTATATTTCTGCTGGGCTGTGGCTCACCCTTTATGGGAACATCATTTTCAGGTTCAGGTGATAAGCTACCTCCAAGGACTTAGCTTTGAAGGACTTGGATTCTGAAGACTATTTTTTTTAGTTGTTTGTTTTTGGTTGTTAGTACATGTAAACATTCAAGCCTTGGGCTTTTCTTGTATTGAGTTAGAACTCATATTTTTGTATCCAAGTGTTGGCTTGGAAAGATGTAAGCCTGTAGGGCATTTTATTCGATGATACATGTAATGCTTTATTTTGTAATACTCTGATGAATGAATTAATAGATTGTCTTCTTTAAATAATGAATGTCAATGATATATAAAATGGGTTATTTTTGAGGGCGTTACACTATCCCTTGTGTGGTGCTAATGGGGAGGACCATGATCACCTATTCTTCCAATGCCCTTTATCCTCTAAGGTTTGGACTGCTGTGCTCACCAAGTGCAATGCTAATTGGCAGAGCACAAATTGGTTGGGTCTTATTGAGGTTGTGGCTAGAGATTGCTTGGGCAAATCTCTAGCTACAATCATGAAGAGACTTGGCTTCTGTTGCACTGTGTACCAGATCTGGATGGAGAGAAATAGCAGAATATTCTGCAGAGCATTATTGGTATGGTTAGATATAGGGCTCTTGCCCTTAAAAATATCAAACAGTCTCGGACTGATAGTTGGTTTCTTCAAGAGTGGAGGTTGCCTACAACCATCCTTAAACATTGAGGGGAGTGGTACCTTCTGTGGGTCGAGTGAAGGTGAGCATCTATTGAGGGTTGAGTGTGGTGAGCTTCTATAGTGAGATGGTTTTGATTGTTCTAGTTAATGTATCTCTGTTTTGCAGGTATAGAATGATGAAGCCCATAAATGAGAGTTGCGAGTTCTCCAAAAGTGGGTTGAGTGATGGTAGCCAGAAATTGAGTGCTAATGTAATTGTTTTTTCTTGTGTGCTATTGCAGGTTTATGTAATTACTGGTATTGGACAGGGGATGTTGTTGGTGAGGGCTGAGTGAGGGAATCTATAAATTGTTGGAGTGTTGATGTAGTTTTTTTTTTTTCTCACTCATTGTTCCACGATTTTAACCAAGCCCCTAACACTGTTATTCTTTGTTGAGGAGTGTGAATATTGTGGGTTGAGTGATTTAGCCCTCCTAAACAGCTTTGTTATAATCTGTGTTATGGGTGTTCCTTATTTGTTTGTTTCACATGTGTACTATTGTTACTTCCAGGTTACTCTAATCTGTGTTGGGAAAGAAGTCTCATGGACAACAACTTTGTTCTGGCCAGCTGGAGCCTTCGGGGAGTGATGGAGACACAAAGACCAGGCTGCATTGTTGCGCCAGTCTAAGTGGAAAATCTCCAAATGGAAAATACTTTGTCTTTCGTTTAAATATTGTAATAGTTCCTTTCTTTTTGATTTGTATTGAGTCTATAGCTGTCTAGTCCTAGATGATTGTAGCTGTTGGTATTAGAAGGACCAATCTTGAGCAGACAATATCAACAATGACAATATTAGCATATTTTTCCAAAATTGATAACAATAACAACAAATAATGCAATGCTACCCATGACTAATTAAACTTAACAATAACAATATTAGAATGTTTTTCCAAAATTTATCAACAATGGCCACAAATAATGCAATGCTATCCAAAACGAATCAAACTTATTCAGGTCTGTCTTAAGTATTGAACACAAACTTATGAAAGCTATGTTATATCAGGATTCACTCACAAATTGGGCAGAACACATGTTTTCAGCACTCTGGTGCACCTCAACTGGCATCATTCATAGCTCAAATGTAAGATCTAGGAATACATATGTCAAATAAAAGCGGTGACTTCTATCTTTCATTGAGCAAAGTCTTAATATAATCTAAACTGTATCTGGACTATAGCTTGGGGTTTTGCCTTAACTGATTCAAAGATCAAAGGAGTGAGATATGCAGACATTCTGGGATGTTCAGGATTCTATTAAAACGAAGTTAGGCATGAATCTATTTCCAAAAAGTTTAAACTAGGAAAATTGAAGAAGGGGAAGGGTCTTGGCTATGCCAAGGAGATGGGAGAGTTGTAGATAGGTATGGGTTTGACATGTACAGAGTGACGGAGATGCAGAGAAAGTCAAAGGGGAAACTCAAAATGGGGAAGGAGTTCCATCAATATCCAAGCACCACAGTAAATTCAACCCCCTACACAGATGATTCTCCACTTCATCATCTTTCAATACTTTTCAGGTTGGGGAGGTGAGGAGACGGAGAAAGGGAAATAAAGGGTATTTTGGGTTGCATAAAGGGGGAGAGGAGAGAGATGGTGTTCCATACCTTGATCGGGGAGAGATGATGGAGGGATCTGAAGGAGGGAGGTGCTCTTCTGAAATGGCTTGGGCTGCAGAGATCTTGAGGAAGGGAATTGCTTTTTTATGCAGCTGGATTTCACAAGAAGGAAGGTTCAATGTACTCTTTGGAGAGCCTCAAAGGCTCTTCAAACCTAGCCAGGAGGGAACGACTCTGATAAAATAGCCAGCCTGTTGGAAGGAGAAAAATGAACTGAGGGTAGCTAACATACCCAATTTGACTAGAATTGATAATGTCAAAAAAACAATCATAGATTTTGGATTTGATAACTTGACAAGAATTGTTAATGTCTAAGTAACAATTCATGCCATTGTGGAGGCTCCTAGTGACCAACCAGGTTGATTTCCAGGCCAACTCGAACAGATCTTATTGCTGCTTTAGATAAATGAGATTTTACAAAAATAAGCATTAATTAAAAAGACCACGGGGCATCTGAAACATACAACCATAAATTCAAAATCCTTGCATGTATATCTATTCATCTAAAGCCAGGCTAAAATGATAGAGATTATCCATCCGAAACAACTACACAAACTGATTGTTACATCTTATAAAATGTCTAAACATATGATATCATCTGTATTTTGATTTGCATCAAGCAACTACAAAGATATTGAATCTAATATATTCCACTCTAAGTTCTTCTAAATCACATTTCCAACATACACGGAGTTACTTCCTAAAAGGGATGCAATCGATTAGACATCAACTGTACAATACTTGGCTCACTAAATTTCATTATAAAATGATTTCAACAAATGGATGCAGTTGTAGAGAATTTCAATAAAACAAAAATCATCACTGCCAAACTGAAAGATTGTCTAATACAGCTACAAAAAGGAACGTAAATTCTGTTACATAGATACTGAAATTTTTGAGTTTTGGGGCCAAATGCAACATCAACCACACAATCAAGCAAATATGAGTCTAGCATTTAACAAATTTCATTTCTAGTAAATTGTTCAATGTCAATAATGAGTTTTGGGTTTTGTCAACTATAATTGTCTATAAATCTACCCATAATTTAAAATGTAATTATATCCACCTTACATCAATGATAACCAGAAATATTTGCACTTTAATTACAACATTTGCTCTTAAGATAACAGTAAAAAAAAAACAATTTACCACAGTAGTTACAGTCTCCTTATGCCAACAATCACAATATGAAATAAACAATCCAGAAAATTTTACCTTGTGCATTGGACAACTGAGATGATGAATGCCAAAACCAAGAATCACAAGAAGAAAAAAAAAATCTGTGAACTGCTGCCAGAAACACATGAAAACATGTTCTGAAAGAATCCTACTTCATTAACCCTCTCCCCCTAAAAAACAAAAAAGAATGTCTTACCACACAACAAAAAACAAAATCAATTACAAAGCCAGTAAATTATGAAGTACAAAATTTTACTGCACCTAAATTCTACTATAAGAATAAAAAGCATGCTTCAAAAGGACCTCGCCAACATCAAGTTCGATACAATCATAATGGGAAAAAATAGCATATGATATATATATATATATATAAGGAAAATGCAAACATATTAGTGTGGCTCCTAAACTCTAAAGCAACGTCTGAAATTACCATCCCAAAAATCTACACCAATTAATTAGCAGCAAAAAAGCTATGAAAAGTAAAAAGGAAGTTTGTATGTAGACACATGGGAGAAGAGCCAAGTTTAAGTGTTTGTGCTTTATAGACGAACAAACAATAAGAGAAATTCAAAGGAAAAAGCTGATAAAATAAAAATTAATATCAGAGATTCATTCTTCACAGTTAGAGTTCTGAAATCAAAGTGGCACGACTATTGGATACAGATGTTAATTTTCATTGAGAACCGAACTTAATATTAGATATTCAATAAGGGTTAGGGTTTTCAGGGTTTTCAAATCAAAAGCCCTAATGTAAATGAAGTTTAGAGTTAGAAACAAACCTGAGCTATTAGAATGGAAGCAACTAGTTCTTGACATCGAGAGAGTGAGAGATTATGAAGAAAGATGTCAACACTGAGAGAACGGTGGCCCCGACGCCGACGGGGCTGGTGGTCTTCGGCAATGGCTGAAGCTTCGGCTATGGTGGAAGAGAGGAGGGAGGAGAAGAGAAGAGCAAGAGCGGGATCCAGAGCAAGAGAGGGAGGCCAGCTGACTTGGGACCCTTGGACTACCCTGATTTACTTTGCTCTATGTTTGGTTGCCAATTCAAAATTAAATTATTAAAATAATTTAGTTATTTGATAGTTATGAAATAATATGATATATATAAATAACTAAATATAACTAAGTTATGAGTTAATATGATAATAGTTATGATTTATATGATATTAGTTATGATATCAAATCACATAACCTCATAACTGATGTATGGTACATTCAAATGTACCATAGCATCACCCCTAATATGTAATTTATCCATATTTTTTCGGATTTTTTTTAATTGTCATGTGAGCATGACTTTAACATGTCATATCCATATCTATGATTCTGAATATACCATATTAATTATTTGAAAAAAGCAAAAGAAAATCACACATGAAGTTTATCTCATATTTAATAATGCTAATCAGAGTTTCCCTATAGAAAATTAGATCCTTTTATTGTATAATTATGTTTTATGACACTGTATTAACTCCTTTTTTTTTTCTCCCTAGATTTCAATTTTCACATTTTTTAAAATTTATTTACAGCAAATCTTATTAGAATGAAGAAACAATGTCAAAGTGGAACAATCAAAGTTTTGCAAAGAGTAACTGAGATGCTTCCATGGATTCAAAACCTTGTCCTCGTAATAAGAATAGAATGATTACTTTTTCTTATAGAAAAAATTAAGAAAGAACGAAAGAAAGGGAGAGAAGACCTTAAGAAAAGAAAGACATGTGGACATACCTTGTGGGGGAAAAGAGATACGAAGGTAGCATTGTGGTTTTCCATTGACTCTGAAAACGGATTGCTACTATTGAGGAAGAGCCACTTGAGTTGTGGTAGTTTCTGAAGATACAATCTCATCAGTCCCTTAGCAAAATCCAATGAGCATAGGTAGACAAAACAAAATCATGGATTCTAGCGCTGGAAACTCCATCTTGTTTGTTGCATCATCTTGTCCTTTTTCCTTCAAAATAACTTCTTCCATTCTATCACAATTTTGATTTCAAGATGTTTTAGTTTTCCAGAAGAGCCGGTTGGAAATTGGCAGGGACATATCTTTCTTAAATTGGGTAGATTTCTGAGCTTTAATTCCTCTAAGATAGGAAAAATGAGGAATAGCATTAGGTGTACGCAGGACCTATTCCATTGTATTGACAAAATATTCTGGTGTAACACAATCTTCAATTACTAGGTCCTTCAAGTGTTGGAGTCCTTCAACTCCCTCTCGAAACAACTCTTGCACTGCATCCTCTGAACCCTTCCCCATTAACCATAGAAGTGCAGTGCTCCTTAACAACGAATTGATCCCACCGAATTCTAATGGGATAGTACACGTGTTATGAAGAGTGAGAATCAAAAGCTTTCGGAACCTTTTTATGAATTCTTCAACAATGGTGGTGCCGGCATGGAAACCTATCAAAATTGAGTATTTTGTCAGTTTGCTAAACAATGGGATTCTTGGCAAACGCAAGGCATCTTGTATATTAATCTCTAAAGTATTCAAATTGGACAAGGATTCAAACTCTCTCAAGCTCGCATTTTCTCCTCCTTCCTCGCCTTCTTGGTCCCAAATGATTCCGCAGCCACCCATGTACAACTTTTGTAATTGGACTAGAACTGATATGACACCAGGTGCTATTCTTTTAAGTTCACCACAACTTGTCAAATCTAACAACTTTAAATTAACCAGTCCTCCTATTTCCTTAGGTAACTCCTCAATGTTGGAATCACTAAAACTGAGGATTTCCAGATTCAATAGCTTTCCAATTACAGATATATTATCGAACTTCTGACAGTAACCAAGATGCAATGTCAACAGGTTGCTCAAGAATTGCAGTGACGACGGCAGTAACGAGATTTTATACATGATTCTCAGTTCCAAAACTTTGAGTTCTGCCATCCTCTCAAAAAAATTGCTTGGTATTTTTAGTGAACTATTCAGGCATTCTATTAGTAAAAACTCAAGTTTTGAGCATCTCAATCCTCCTGGAAACTCTACAATTTCATTTGACATCACCAAAATGGAAGTGCTATGCTCATATGCCGCCTTCTTTGGCCACTCTCTCGATTTGGCACCGTGGATTGTCATAAAACCATGCTTTTCTTTAGCCGCAATTGATATGGCGACATCGCGCACTACATCGTGCATTTTTATCCGCCCCTCATCGTGCATTTTTATCCACCCCTCATAACTACCATCCAACAGTAAATAACAACTTTTAAGTTGATCAACTAAGACATTTACTTGATCTCTTGCATCATCCACTTTGTGGATGCCTTCAAACCACCGCAATCTGATTCCATATCTAACCAAATCTTCAATAGCAATATTACAATCTTCTGGAAACAAGCAATGGAGCAGAAACAACTTCTTGGCTCTCTCATCTTTCAGAAAATTGTAACTAAAATATAGAGCTTGATACACTTTTGCAGGCACTTCTGACGACAAACTTTCTGAACAGGGGGTTCTTAGTTGTTGAAGCGCATTATTCCAATGATGTTGGTCAGGTTCGTCTGTAAGAGCCCCTCCGATAGTTACGAGGGCAAGTGGTAAACCTCCACATTCATTTACAATTTGTTTTGCTAGTGGTCGCAGATCAATGTTGTCAGCACAATCGCCTACCTTCTCTCTGAAGAGAAGCCATGGTTCGTCGCCCACTAGGACTAGAAGTTGGATATACCTTTTATTTTGTATTCCTTTCCATAGATTTCGATTTTGTGAAGTGAAAAGGATCTTACAACTCTTGTTGCTGCCTCCTTCCAAAGGAAATCCCGACTCGTCTAGATCAAATTCTTCCCAAATGTCATCCAATATGACTAGAATTTTCTCATCGTTCTGTAGAAGTCTCTGACGCAGCCGACTTGATCGTACTATTGGGTTCTCCATGTCAAGTTGTAAACCCAACATTTCTGCAATACAACTTTGAACCTGTTTTAAGTTTGGCTCTTGGCTGACAACTGCCATTGCAACTTTGTTAAAGAGTTTCTCTTCTTCCACTCGTTTGGCAACGTGTTTGACCATTGTTGTCTTGCCCACTCCCCCCATCCCGCATACCCCAATCAGGTTCATCTCGTCAGCCTTCAGAGCCTCGAAGATTTGCTTCACAATCAAATTTCGAGACTTAAACCCCTTGAATCCTATCGAGGGTAGAGATTGGATGGATGGTGGTGGTGGACTGTGGGACAACTGAGTGTACTTGATGCCCTCAGTATGAAGATGGACAAGATCTTGAGTCATTTTCGCGGCTTTTCTACTCAGTGAGTAACGGGGCCAACACCACCCTTTCAAACATCCCTTCTGAACTTGGGCATTGGATTCAATAGTTGTCTCTGCCTCTGCAATTTTGTTATTTGCATTAATCAGCCATGCCTCAGCGAGAGGTTCAACGATTCTCACATTATTGTGTGCTTCATTCAACCCTAGCTGAACCCCTTCTCTAGTCGCTTTTAGGACATCATGTTGAGTTTGAAGATTCTGAATGTTTCTGTTGAAGCAAAACAGATAACCAAATTGACATCCAATTGGATCAACCAAGTTTTCTGCTATTTTTTCCAAAATGGCATAACCAATTCCCTCAGCCATTTAAACTTCTTCTTCTCCTACTGCTGAAGCTGTTTTGATTCAAAGTAAAAGAAATCAACAAGCAAACACAAGATGAAAATCCAGTACATATCCACAAACCAAAGCAAGTAATTGTAATTGTAATGTTAATTTAGGGGCAAAGACTATGGTACACAATATGCAGCTTATAATTAAAAGAAAAAATTAATATAATTCCATACTTTTTGAGTCATAATTAAAATAAAATTAAAAAAAAAACAGCTTGTATTTGCTTATTTTTTGTCATAGCTCATGTGATACCTAAAATAGTCATAATCAAATATCATATGAGGTATGACCAAAGATCTCATGAGTCATACCTAAACTAATGTAATAACTAAAAAAAATAAAAAATAAAAAAAAATTGGTTATAACTAAAGAAGAAAATAGCATAACTACGGGTGTATATTGTACACCCTTTTTAAGGGCGTGTATACTAAAAAAGAAAATTAGTTATAATTAAAGAAGAAAATAGCATAATTATGGGTGTATATTGTATACCCCTTTTAAGGGCGTGTACAGTAGAATTTCTCAAGATACAATTTTAAAAATTCAAATTTATATTTTAGATTTTTTTTTTCATTTTAATTAGTGTATAAAATATTAATTTTCAACTCAGTCAAATCTAGTATGGGAGAATGTAAATAAATAAACAATTAAAAAGACAAAATTCGAAAAAAAAAAGTTATTAGTGGATTTTTTTTCAAAATCTTTATTTTTAACTTTAGGTCTATATAGCTGAGTAAAATTTAAAAGTGTAAATATTCTAATAAAAAAGAAATTGAAAAGTTCACTATAAACTAAAAAAGTCAACAAAAAATACGCTAAAACAACCGATTCCAAACACACACACACAACAAGTATATTCGGGTTAATTACATTTTTGGTGTCCATAATATGATATTTGTGCCATTTTGGGAATTGGGCGGCACAACAACTATTGTTGTGCTGTGCGGCCAATGGGCATCATTTTGGATCCTATTTCGATAATTTGAATAATTCACTATTTAGTATAGATCGAGTAGAATATATCTGCAAAATATCAAATTAATCGAATATCGATAGCCCATTCATCGAATTGCATTTGTATCTAAATAAATAAATGGTAAATCTAATTTGAAATAAAAAAAATTATATACAAATGCAATCAATTTAATATACTTGATAAAAGGTCTATCGATATGCAATCAATTTAATTTTTGGCAGGTATACTTTTCTCAATGTATCCTAAAATGTGAACGGTTTAGATTATTGAAATGACATTCAAAATGAGGTTCATCAGCTGTACAACAGTTGCTATTGTGCAGGAGGTATTTTGATACTCAATATTTAAATTGTGTCAATTTGGTCCACAATGTATAAAAAGTAATTAAATTTAGTCCCTAATGTTTAAATTGCTTCAATTTAGTTTTCAATATATAAAAAGTGTTTCAATTTTGACACAACAGAATGTGCACAAAACTAGATTGTAAACGAAAACTTTTGAATCCACAAGAAGGAAACCCTTGAATCCACAAGGAAAATAGAGTAACTTGAAAATTATATTGATGGAAAATGCCTTTGCCTCTAGGCTTACATAACTATTTATACTAGATAAAGTCTTGGTCACCATGCATACTTGGAGACCAAGTATTACAATAAAGTAACTAATTAGGATAATCCTTGGTCACCAAGAAAAATTCTTGGTAGCCAAGTAAAACTTGTTTAAAACTATCATTTTATCCTAGGTCAATAATTTGATTTCCTTGGCTTGTGTTTGTCTAACTGTCTCAAGAAATCTGTAGCCACTTATTCTACATCAGCCCCCTCTACTTGGAGAGAACTTAACCTTGAGTTCAAATCTGGGTAGAAAGACTCGTCTGCATGATACTCAAAAAGATTAGAAACATTGAAAGTCTTGGAAATCTTCCAATCTCCAAGAAAATCAATCACATAGGTATTGTCATTGATCTTCTTCAAAATCTTGTATGGACCATACTTCCTTGGCTTTAGTTTGTTATATGTACCCATTGGAAATCTATCTTTGCACAAGAACACCATTACCGAATCTCCTTCTTTGAACACCTTGGTATGCCTGCGCTTGTCAGCTGCTTCTTTGTACCATGCATTGGTTTCTTCTAGTTTATGTCTCACATCATCTTGCACTGCTTGAGCTTGTTTAGCCATGGCCTCTGCTATAACACTTATTTTCAGACTTCTTAGTAGACGAACCAAATCAACTACATGCCTTGGAGGTGTCACATATACCACAGAGAACGGTCACTTTCCAGTGGCACTAGAACCACATTGTTGTAAGAAAATTCGGTTTCACATATGCTTCAAACCAAGATTTCCAAAGTTTTGTTAGTCACCTCGGTTTGACAATCCATCTGTGGATGTGCAGTAAAGCTTCGATTTAATGAAGTATCGAATATATTCCATAGAGTCACCCAAAAATGGCTAAGGAACTTCACATCACAATCAGAAGTAATAGATTGGGGTTACTCCATGCAAGCAAACTACCTCTCGAAAGAACAATCGAGCCACATGGAGAAAACCTATCAACAACCCCAAATATAGAATATACTTCTCGTTCGGTACGAGGGAGTCCCAACACGAAATTCATAGACAAGTTTTCCCAGATATTGTTAGGAATAGGTAAAGACATATAAAGACCAGTATTTTGAGATTAGCCTTTGGATATCTGACATGTGTAGCACTTCCTTACAAAATTCCCAACGTCTCACTACAATTGAGGCCAAAAGTGACGTTCCTCTAAGGTTGCTATGGTCTTGTCTCTACCCAAGCGCCCGCTCAATCCTCCTCCATGTAGGTCTCAAATTAGCTTTTCCAGAAGAGATGTCTTGGGAATGCAAAGACGATTTTCCTTGAATAAATATCCCCTAGTGATATGAAAATCATTGATAGGTTTAGTCTCTTTACATTTATCACATATCTCTTGAAAATCTTCATCTTTTAGGTAAAGCTCCTTTAAGAACTCAAATGCCACAATCTCATGGGTCAATGTAACTAGCAAATTTGCACGACAACTCAACGCATCTGTAACCCTGATTCAAAGTTCTTGACTTGTGCCAGATAGTGAAAGGAAACTTCTGAAGAAATGAAGACCATCTGACACACATGTTGTTTAGGTGCTTCTAATTGTTGAGGAACTTCAATGCTTGATGATTTGTGTATAGGACAAACTCCCGCTGCACTAGGTAATGTTCCCAATGCTTGAGAGCTCGCACCACCACATAAAACTCTTGGTCATAGGTACTCCACTTTTGTCAGGCTTCACTCAGTTTTTCACTAAAGAAAGCCACCCGTCTCTTTTCTTGTGAAAGAACTGCTCCAATTCCTACACCGCTAGCATCACACTTTACCTCAAAAATCTTTTTGAAGCTAGGTAGAGCTAATACTGGTGCGAAGAAAAGCTTCTTTTTAATCAAAGCAAAGCTCTTCTCAGCATCTTCTCCCCAAAAGAACTTTCCCATCTTCATGCATTCTATAATTGGCATTGTGATTGAACTAAAATTGCAGATAAATCGAAGGTAGAATGTAGCCAACCCATGAAAGCTTCGAACATTACTAACGGTTTTTGGCGTTTGCCACTCTCAGATGGCTTGATCTTTTTCTCTATCCACATGAATGCCTTCTGAACTAACCACATACCCCAGGAACCATAAACTACTTGTCATGAAATTGCACTTCATGAGGTTAACAAACAACTTATTCTCCTGCAAAACTATTAGCACTTGCCGCGAATGCTCGATATGGTCCCTTTCAGATTTGCTATAAATCAAGATATCATCAAAATAAACAACTACAAATTTTCCAGTAAATGACTTCAATACCTTATTCATAACCCGCATGAAAGTACTAGGACCATTTGAAAGTCCGAATGGAATAACCAACTACTCATGGAGGCCATCCTTGGTTTGAATGTTATCTTCCATTCATCTCTCGGTCGGATTCGAATATGGTGATACCTGTTTCGTAAGTCAATCTTTGAGAACCACTTTGAACCTTCAAGCATATCATTCAGACGTGGAATAGGAAATCTGTACTTGATGGTGATTTTGTTAATAGCTCGACTGTCAACACACATCTACCAACTTCCATCTTTCTTTGGCGTCAAAAGAGCTAGAACGGCACATGGGCTCAAACTTTCATGAATATGCCCTTTTTGTAGCAACTCTTCAACCTTCTGCCTCAAAATCCTGTTCTCCTTAGGGTTCATCATATAGTGCGGTAATTCGACAAACTTGCTCCTAGCACAAAATCAATTTGATGTTGGATATCCCTCATCGGTGGTAGCTCACGGGGTAGTTCATCAACGGTGAGCTCTTTAAACTCCTCAAGAAATCGTTAACACTGCTTTCTTTTTTCCTTCCTCCATTAGATTTTTAACAACCATCACATAAATCTCTTCTGAAGTTTTAAGATCTATCATAAACTCAGCCTCTGAACTAACAATGATTTGAAAAGATTGTCTCTCTAATTTAGGTGGTTTGGACACTATTTGTTGTGCTGAATGAGCTATAACAATTTTATAAGTCCCCCATATAAACAAATAGGTGTTGTTCCGACCCTTAAATCTGACATCTACATCAAATTGCCAAGGTCTACCCAAGAGTTTATGACTAGCATCCATATCAATCACATCATAAAAAGCATCTTCTTTATAATGCTTGCTGGTGGAAATAAGAACTCAACAAGTTTTAATTACCTTTGTTGTCGGGCCTTTGTTGATCCGACCGATGTTGTAAAGATTGAGATATGGCTCAGTTTGTAGTTTTAAGTATTCCATCAATCACTTCGCAACAAAGTTCTCACAACTTCCACTGTCAACAATCAAATCACATACTTTTTGGTTGGCTGAACAACATGATCGAAAAATATTATGGCCCTAATTAAAATCCTCCGCCTTTGGTGTGAATAAAACTCATTGGACCACACAGTTTACTCATTCTCCATTCTTTATGGTGAGCTTAGCCCCA